GTCAAAAAACGCTTATAACCCAAAATTTCGTCTATGAAACTGTCTTCTGCGCATTAATTAAAAGTTTTCCTTGCGAACTTTTGCTATAGTAAATGATTTTAGACACCAATCTAATGGCAAAATCCAACCCTAACTTAAAAAAACGAAATTTTACTTGAAACTTTTTAGGGTGGCGATTCTACCCTTGTCGGAAATAACTGTCATAATAATAAAGTTAACCGAACTACTTACATATGTATAATATTTAATTACAGTTTTGCCAATGTAATGTTAAAACAAATCTTAACAATTTAACAATAAAATAATTTAACTATTTAGACAATATTTAATGCACAGATAAGCGCTACTAAAATAAAGCGGGATTTCAGGCTCTGGATTTTCAAGGCTGAATTGATTTATCATAAGTTCAAAAGCCTGAAGTCTAGTTTTCTTTAATAGTACTCGAATATAAACGAGAGGCAAGGCTATCTTTTTGTTTATTGCTTTTGTATATTTTTATATAAGTCACATGCTGTGCTTAATAGAATAGCTACACGCAAAATATTTTAATTCACCAACATGACTCAGTCTTTCCAAAGTATTAGTGGGTTTGATCTTCGCTTAATTTCGTCATTTCGTCAAAGTTTCACCAGTTTCAACTTTCGCCTTTGTCAAAAATAGTTTCGCCTAACAACTCTACAACTAATCAGTGAAGTAAGCAGAATTAAACCAAAAAATATCAAAAATCGAGTATTAAATCGAGGACTTATTTTATAACGAATTTGTTCTTTAGATAACTCAACCCAGATATTAAATTCAGGTATGTTTATCCGGATATTATCTGGGTATCATCCAGATAGCTGAGTTCACAACCCGGATATCCGATTATCTGCGGATAACCAGGGTATAACCACTACTGAAACCTTATTATTGCAAAGTGCTATAATATACATTTTATTTTATGCAAATGAATTTAACAATCATTATTTATATAGATGTTCATGATATAATAAAAAGAGAGATCATAAAGGTTAATTATTATAATATACGTAGTTCCACTCAATAATAGACGAATGTAAATTGACGACCAGAACAAAAAAGACAATACATATTTTCAGATATTAAAAATATAAAAACACGGGTGATGGGGATGACAAATATGTAGGTTAAATCCTTGTTTTTTACGCGAAGTTTCAAATTTTTTGATTGAAGTTTTTGAAGGTTCAAATTTTTTGATAGTTTCAAAATCATGAGAGTTCTGGGCAATCATTTGTGAATTTTCGAATTTTTTAGGTGATTTGTCTATTGTTGAATTCTATAAAAAGGTAAAAGGTCAATTATGATTCTTATTTAAGGACCATTATTAATATAAATATTTAAACTAACCGAATGCTTGAATAAAAATTGCAACATTTTGTCATAAATCGTTATAAATGCACTAAAATATTTTATAATTGTTGTCTAACAAAAGAAAAAAATTAGCAAGTAATCCCTTGAAATAGATTTAAAAAATGAAATAGATACCTTTCTGAGTATGCTTATTTTTTAAATTTGAACCTCCACTTCGCTCCGAACAAGATTTTTTTAATAATCAAGTTCAGGTTTTTTGATGACTTTAAATATTATTCATATCATATTGCCTTATCAAAAGATCTTTTTGGGAATTCTTTTTTAAGTTATCAAATAATTTGTACGTACAGGAGATTCGGAGATAATATCATTGTTTGTGCCAAGATAGTTTAATTTTATTGCTACGTATGAATATCATTTATTGATATTGCCGATATACGTAGTAGAAAATTATCGCACAAAATTGGTTAAATAAAATATTTATACAAGTGGAATCTAAAAAAGGAATTTACTCTTTTATTAATATGAACACGAAATTAATACAAAAAAAGATTGCTACACAATTTTGTGCTAGAATAATGATAAATATCCTTTCCGAAGTTTTGTGATATAACATTTTTTATTAATAGTTTTTGATAAACATGGTTATACATACTTACATACGTAATCTCTGATATCTTAAATGTTCGGAATGAATCTTTAACCATCCGAATAGTAATCTTTCTTAATACATATGTGATCAATCAAGGATTTACTAATTTCTTCCAGTTTCTATTAGAGAAATATAAATATTTTGTTCCCAAATAGACTAAAAGATAATATCCCAGTTAAAAAAATTAATTGTTCATCTTACAACGCCGTATAAATAAATTGCTTATTAGATATTATTTCTTAACAAATATATATATAATTCTAAATAATACATCTCACCTTTACTATATAACTGTCATACGGATTTTCTTTTTTGTTACGAATTTGTGACAGTAACACAAATAGTGCAAACAAAAAATGCGGGGCAAAAACAGAGACTTGACCAAAATTACACAAAATTAGCTAGCGAGCAAATTGTGCTATAGAACAGGATTATGTAAGTTAATAAATCACACGAAAGGATCTATTTGAAAATCTTTAGAGGATAGATTAATGTTCGTAAAGGAGGGTAAAATGATGATATCGATTATTAATAAACTTGAAATTATGTATTACAGAATTTTATAAACTTTTTTGCAGACTACAAAGTCATATGTACATAAGTATTAAGCCCGGAGCTTTTACTATTAAAGCGTTTATACTTATCTATATAAAATTAAACAGTTTATAATAAAAGTTTATTGAATTTAGGAAAATAAAATAGTTTTAGAAAAAACGTTCCTAGTTACTTTAATATGCTATGTAATTCTGCGTAATCCAATAGATGGCAGTTTTTAAGCTTGGCATATTAGGTTCAAGATCTTTTCGAAATCGTTAATATCAACTTATTTGAATTGGTTTTAAATCATGTTGATAGTGAAATTAAAGAGAAATCATATTAAAATTGACATATATTAGGGAATTTTGATATATAAAAATTTATAAAAATTTGCCAAGTGGCTTAGGTTGATATTAACGGGATTGATATTAACGAGGGTGGAGGGTGACCTGTACTAGATCTAGTGTAAATAAATAAAGTCATTAAATGCGAAGCAGCCAATAAAGAGATTATTTCATTATCAGAAGAGGTCAGAAATGACATGCATTAAATTCGCTGCCAGACAAAAAAGTTTTGGCTGCGTAACATACAATAACAGTGTTATCTGGTGGTTTGCCTGCTAAATGACTTGAGTTTTTTCAGTAATTACGTAAACTTTGAGTGAAGGTTTTCGCAATACTTTCTTACTAGTTTCTAGTTAGATGAGATTTTTAGGTGAAATACGAAAACCATTATTAGTACAATACTAGATTTGCGATTTACTAATAATTTTTCGTAGATATCAGATGCAGTTGATCTATCGATTTGCTAGCATTCAGGAGTGCCTTCAGCAAATTCAGGACGTAATCCATGAGATATTTTCATAGCTAAGGTAAACCGCCGTAAATCCATCTTCCAAATTAGAATTACCCTTTTTTCTAGATAATTCTAGATCGGCAATATAAGATATCAGATCACCATTAAACATATCGATTTTGCAATATATTACCACTATGAAATCTCCATGAACATATTCTGCCTTGCGTACATTCGCTAAATTTTAGAAATATCGACAAGCTGGTTTAATTTACTTTTCCAATTAAAATCTCTAAAATTTAAAGATAAAACATTATGAAGACTTCCTCTATTTGCATATTGAAATACTATCAAATATTCGTTATGGGTTAGTTCATACACTTCAGCATTATCACCAACTATAGTTGTTGGTAGAATTTGTTTTGTAAATTATTATTGCTCGATCAGCTGACTTTATACAAAAAACTGAATGACTTTATTTACAAAATCTGAAGAACATATGGGATAAGGGCTCGCTACC